GGTGTTCACATCTAAAAGGCAATTTAGAGTTAGTCATTCAGCATAATTCATTTCAGAAACACAGATTTAAGCTCTTACTATGTGGCACTGTTTATATTAGATGTCTCACAAATGCTCTCTCTCTCTCTCTCTCTCTCTCTTAATTCCCACAACCCCTTTTAAACTGAGAATTTTTCATTTTCATTTTGTAGCATGCTCTACTAGGGAGAATGGCATGCATAAAGATCAGGAGGCCTTAGATAACAGTGTGTCTGTGTCACAGACTGAAAGTACACAGCATTGAAAGGGGAATCACAGAAGAGGGCAGCCACTCGGGCAGTGCCCTTAGAGATGCCATATGGCAGGATATGTGTCCAAGAAGATGACTGTGCAAGGTGTAAAGGTATGAGGGAGAGATGAGGGTGCACAGACCATGCAGGGGCAGTGTTAGGGGACTATTAAAAGAGGACATTTTGGAGGGAAATCTCCTGCCCAGGCAGCTGATGGGTCCAAGTGGCAGAGTTCAGAGCACTCTGTCTCCCATGGTGCTGGCTGCAGCTGACCCTTGCTCCAGTGATGTCCTGCCTGCCTTCCCCAAATCCCCCCACAGTCCTGGGTGGCCTCATTGAGGGAGCTTCAGTGCCAAAGGCTCCCATGGCTGAGCCAGCCCTAAAGCACAAATATCTGACTATTGACTGCAGTGGATAATGCTGCTTTACTACAGGAACCTGGGTCAGGGTGCTATGGAGCACCGCACCTCCAACCACACATTCTGGGCCTTCCTGCATTGTTTCTTCTGTGGAACATCCCAGGCACTGAGAAATGGCCTTTCCCTCAAGGGACAGCCCCGGAAGGCCTGGCTCAGGGCTGGGGGTGCTGTGGTAGCAGTGACTATGCTGCAAACCCTGGCAGAAGCCAGAGACACCAGCTTCCTTGTGAGCAGACTGCAGGTGGAGTAGGGGATTGGAGGTTAGGGCTGATGTTTGCTCAGGCTTCTGATCTGCAAACTACAGAAGCCACACACAATTCCTGCATTCTTTTCAAAGACCAAGGAGAAGAGGATGAGAGATGTTGGCAGATACAAGTTCACTTTCCTAATAGTCCTCTGGTTCTGTGTGTTAGAACTGTGCTAGGCTCCAACCATTGGGGACAGCCCTGTAGAAGCCCACAGCTCACCCACATTGAAATCAGGAGCCCCTCAGGGCCTTTATTTGTCCCTTCCATTCTTCTGAAAATAAAAATGCGTGCAAAGAGCTCAGGATAGTCTTGGTACACAGAGCTGTTGCCATCTGCATGTCGCATGGAGTCAATCAGGGCTGCCTTACTGCACTGCACCTCTCCAGGGGTCCATCTTTATTGCCATCAAGATAAAGTCTAAGACTGTTAAATGGTTATTTCAACATCACTCAGCAGTGGAGTATGAGTGGAGATTTAGTTTTACCCACTCAGTGGACATTTATTGAATACATGCTATATTCATGCTCTGCTGAAGACACTAGGGTTTAGTGGGCAAATCTGGCCCAGGTTGAGATGAATCCAAGGCCCTCGGGGGTCCTGTCAAGACTACCAGCCTGAACTGTACACATGGTCACATGGGAGTTGTTCTTATGAAATGACTGAGTAAGGGACAAGGCATAAATCTCCAGGGTGGCTAATGGTCAGGCCCCTCCAGGTCTCTCCCTGCTTACAATAGAGTCTCTAGGCTCACAGGAGGGGACCCTGTTACCAGAAGAGGGGGAATAGTAATTGGGTAGGTGGAAACAATTCCAAGGGAGGATCAAAAAGATGTTTTGAAAAGAATATAAATGAGAAGCAAATGAAGGAGACTCCCTCCCAAGTCAAAGTTGGAGAAGGCAAATCTCTTTTCCCTACTGTTTTCCATATTTGTCTTTCTGTGAAACAAGATTAGTATTTACCTTCCTAGCAAGAGACCCATCCATCCATCCATCCATCCATCCACTTCTCTACTCTTTCATCCATCCATTCATTTCCCAATTATTCCATCCGTCCATCCTTCCATTTGTGTATCCATCAATCTGCCCACCCACTCACCCACACATCCTTGTATCCACCAAACCCTTCCACCACTTGTCCACCCATCTTTCCATTCATGCACACATGCACCCAGTATGCATTCATCCACCAAAGTTTTATTAAGCACCAGCCGTGTGCCTTTGTTAGTGATGGATTCTAGAAATAAGCACCTAAGGACCTCAGAGATCCATGAGGTAAACACATTTATGAAATGATAGTGTATAGTTTACCATGAAAGAGGGTGTATCCAGGGTGATTTGGGAGCTGTGGAAGTCCTACCCCTGCCTGGAAAAGAGCATTGCTCAAGTTTGTTTCTTTGAACTAGAATGCATACCTCCTCCCCAGCAGACACACTTGTGGGAGGACTGAGGGCTTTCCTTGGCTTTTTGGAGTCATTTTCTGCTTTTTCCTTTCCATTGCAGACCTCTCTGCATTCTTAGGTTTGTTGAGTACCGTAATCATTGTGAACAGAAGTGCTGGAGGGAAAAAGGAAAATTCTGGGGGTGCTGCTCTGGGGCAGAGCTGGGGCAGTGCTGTGGGCTCTGCCCGGATTTGCGAGTGTAGGTATAGGTGGGGCTGTTGGTCAAAGGGTCCTGCTGACTCAATAGCACCAGCTATGAGTGTGTGGCTGGGGGTTCATGAATGTGTGGAGAAGAGAAATCTTCACATTGTCAAGTACTCTCAGCTTCAAGTTACCCTTTTGGAAAAACAATAAAATAAAGCCTAAAAACCCAAGCCAACTCCTAAGAGGCTTATATTCTCTTATAACAACATCCCTGTTATGAGTCTGTAGTCCACAGGGGAGAAGAGATGTGAAAACAGTTTTGCAGTGGTGAGGGGTCTGGGTGCTGCGGAGCTGCCAGGAATCAGGGTGGGGGAGGGGAGTTTGGTTCTGCTCATTGCATAAATGCTCCCCCGGGCCATGAGGGCCAGAGACACAATTCTGTCATGATGTCCCCTGTAGGAGCGAGGTCACGCTCCCAGTGCCCATTGGAAGGAGCGGTTCTGCTCTTGAACATCATCCGGGTACTGACTTACTGCTTCCCCTTGGCCCAGGGTCTGCTTTCGGTCAGCAGTGGTCATCATCCAGACACCCTCTTGCCGGTTCTGTAACATCTGTCTGTCTTCCTCTCATTTCTCACACCTCTGCTGTAGGGAGGCACCTGACACAGGGCCCATGGTGCACAGTGAGGACATGAGACAAGAGCAGACAGGACAGGGCTCTTCAGAAGCGGCCACTCCAGGGGACACTTGCGGGGCAAGCAGGTGGCTCTACTTGGACGTGTCATGGTGGAAGTGACCCATGAGAGCCAGCATGAGCTGGTGCTGGATAGGCATGCTGTAGTGTATGTTTCTGATGCCTCCTCCCCATGGCCTTGCTCTGATTTCCGGTTCATTGTGGGGGACACTTCCCACTATACAGGTTCTTATCTGGGACATTCAGACTAAGACAGATGATCAAGAAAGTGAGGCAGAGAAAGAGGCATGGACACAGGGGCACCTGGGGGAGGCTGGAGCTGAGGTTGGGGGTCTCAGTGGGTGGTCCTGCAGCCCATAGAGCCTGTCTGATCTTCCCAGGAGTAGTCCGGAAAGGCCCACATAGTCTCCTTTTTCTATGCAGTGTTGTTGTTGTGGCATATTTTTAGCAAGATTCTTGCTTGGGTGTGCAGAGACTGGTGCCCTTGACCCACTTTGGCTGACTGTCATTTGTCCAACAGTTATCAGCGAGGTGCCCCGGCCTGACCAAGGGTGGATGTCACCTTTCCTCCACCCTCTTCCCTCCCCCTCTTCGCCTGTGTGCTTCAGTGTCCTCTTGGAGGACTGGGGTCGTGTGAGGGGACATCTGAAAACAGGGCTGCTCTGTGCCCCGTGGGGGCTCTGCTGGCCTTTCTGGTCATCCCGCTCAGAGTCTTATAGGCACACCTGTCCCACCCCCAGATCCTTCAGGCTGGTTGGCCTCACACTGCCATGCTGCTCTTCATGCTACCACCCATCATCTCACATAAGGCTTTACTCTCGGGGGCTCTGGGATGGGGCCGTGTCACCTCTAGGTCCAGCTTCCCTGCAGACAGCTAACTGGTTGCAGATCCCAGATGTGTTCCATGGGTGGCAGTGCCTCCCTGTGCAGCAGGCTCTGGAGTCTCTATTTCTTCGCTGCCACACGGTCACACAGGACACCACTCTCCCAAAGGCAGCAGTGACTAGAGTGGTCTTTGTGAGACCCAGGTCTGATCATCAGAGCCCTCTACCAGCACCCTTTTCCCTGAAGTCCTTTCTGTTACTCCTTGGTGTGTCCCACAAGGCTCTTCGTGGCTCTATCCCTGCTTCTGTTGGCCCTGCCCCATCCTTACTGTACCACTCACACTGTTGTATTAAACTGCTTTCTGTCTTCTAACCCAGGGGTCGGTGAAGTCTGGTGATAGGGTGAATCCAACACATTGCCATTTTGGTGAATAATGTTCCATCAGTGCACAATTGTACCTATATGTTGATATATTGTCTGTGGCTGTTCTCAGGTTATGACATCAAGATTGAGCAGTTACAAATGAGACAGAAAGGCCCTCAGAGCCTAAAATCTTTTCCATCTGGTCCTTCACAGAGAACTTTGGTAGAGCCTGCCCTAACTGGCCTCATTCCTCTACACTTTCATGCCTTTACAAATGTCCTTCCTTCCCTTTATCCCACTGAGCCTGATGCTAGTCCTTCCCACCATCCTTTGCTACCTGAGCAGGTCAGTTTCCTGCTGCTGGTCACACTGGTTCCCCTTATTGACGCGTGCATCCACCTCCTGCTCCCAGTCCTGATGCAGCAGCAGGTCTTATCCTATGGGAGCTCCAGCACCCACAGGGCTGCTGAACAAGCACCAGGAAGCCAGGGGCTCATGGCATAATGTTGGGCTTCACATCTTACCACTGCATCCCATGTTGCCCTGCTTTCTGTCTCTGGAAATCCAACAGTAGAGACTTTCACTGCCTTTGTCTTTGCAGATCTCCAACCTCTATCTGTATGACAGTGTTCTGATGCTGGCCAACGCCTTCCACAGGAAGTTAGAAGACCGGAAGTGGCACAGTATGGCAAGTCTCAACTGCATACGGAAGTCCACCAAGCCATGGAATGGAGGGAGGTCCATGCTAGACACAATCAAAAAGGTGTGTATATCCTCCTGGTTGGGCCGAAGCTGGGGATAGATCCCTCCTTGTCCCCCTGCTCTTTGCCCATCCCGCAGCTAGCCTGAAGCTAGAATCTCTTTGGGGCTGTCCTCAGTCTTCTCTGCAGATTACTGTCTGTCACTTCCTGTGCCTGCCTTGAAAGCTGGGGGAACTATGGTTCAAGGATTGTGTTGCTATTATGGTCTCCTCTTTAAGGAGACTGAGCTTCAGAAAGGTTAAATAACTTGCCCAAGGTCACCAGTAAGTATGATGTGGAGGCAGCTGCCTACCCTGTCTCCTAGATATCCCTCTGTGCAGGCTACCACCCTCCACGATCAGTCTCCATTGGCACTGCCATGTGCTGATCAGCTAGGACCTCAGCACATGTGAGCACACTGTGTGTGTGATGTGTGCCATGTTTAGGAGGCTGGATTTGAAGTGAATTGGGTAATTCACACAAGACTTGTTAGAGTGAATTGGCTTTTAGAGGCTTCAAAAGAACATTTAGGGAAATCTATAGTGTTCGGGGTTTTAGTCACAACAAATTGTGCATGGTTTCAATCACAGTGAACCTGTTCTGATGTTGGTTTAAATTTATTGCAGATCAGTACAGATTGGGGCCCCTTGTGGGCCAGCTTGGTCTCTGGGACTCTACCATGGGAACTAACACTGGGTGACATCTTCACTCCAGGTTTGAAGAGAGCAGGGTGGTGGGGGACTTACCACAGCTCATCTAGCCCCTGCTGCCTTCTGCTCCATGGAGCCCCTGAACTGGAGAGGGGTGTGCGGCTGGCGATCACCATAGCCAGTCCTTCAGGTCACCATGCTCTGTATACCTGGTCTCTCCTTTAGTCTAGTGGGCTCTGTGATGTGGATCTGATTAACTTCAGGCTGAAGCTGGGAGATGGGCAATGATTTGTCCAAGGCAGCACATGTCTTCAAGCCAGGACTGGAACAGTACTTATATTCTTGCCCTGCAAGTTACAGCCGTGTGTTAGATATGGCTCTTCCTGACTTGTGACCTTCATTTTCATTATGCCAAGAGAAGCCCCTGGAGAGGTTGCAAGGTAAGACTAGATGTCCTGAGAGAGGGACAGGCTGTCAGTCTTTCATCCCATGGTTCTCACAGTACCTGGCACAGAGCAGGGGCTGTAAACACACTGACTGCACAAAGGCCAAGCATAAGGCTTAGGGATTTCCCATCAGCCAGTGGTCTGAGAAGCACTGATCTTGCCCTGAGGCCATCTGACTGCCATCCACAAAGTCTTTGTTACAGGTGGTCCACCGCCTCCTTTTGACCCTCGTTGCTCCCTTCCTGGCAACCTTTTTCTTCTTGGTGATTGTATCCCCACCCTCCAATGGCCTTTCCTCCTGTCCCGCAGGGCCACATCACTGGCCTCACAGGGGTGATGGAGTTTCGGGAGGACAGCTCGAATCCCTATGTCCAGTTTGAAATCCTTGGCACGACCTATAGTGAAACCTTTGGCAAAGACATGCGCAAGGTAAGCCTCAGAGTCCTCACCTCCCAGTGGCCCAATGAAGACAGCAACAGCTGCAGGACCCTGGGTTCCTAGCAAGTGTTAACTGGCATGGAAATCTCATCTCCTCCTCTCTGTCTGTCTCTTTCTCTGCCTCTTTCTCTCTGTCTCTGTCTCTTTCTCTCTCTCTGCTGCTGCTGCTGTTGCCCTTGATGTTGATGTTTAGGGGGGATGCTGGGGAGGGGGTGTAGAGAGATTTGCAGACAAGAAGTGCCACTGGTACAGTTTCTTTGAGTCCAGGAAGGGCCCCTCGCAACCACTGAGCCACTTGCAATGTGTAGTGCTCTTTGGACTAGTGGGGGCACCACGTGGAGGCTGGAAGGGGCAATGTGTTTTCCCAGAGAGGCGAAGTCAGCCCACTGTGGGGACAAGTGTGACTAATGGCTGAGGTTGGAGACAGAGGTTACAGCCAGAATGTCATCCAGATCCAAGGGTGAGACGAGGCCATGAAGAGAAAAGTGAGCCACAAGGAGGGGGGAAGTGGGGAGTCTGGAGTCCAGTGGAGAGGGAAATGAGAGATAGATGAGCAGAATAACCCAGGGTAAGGCTTGGGTTTATTTACTTTTGGTGCAGATGGAAGGGCTGGGGGGATCCTCCCAGTGACATGTGGCCTCCTCTTCCTCCTCTTATGGGGGATGGAGGACAGTTTCTCAGAATCAAGGAAAGCAGGGAAGTCAAAATATCATCTAGCTACTTGTGTTAGCCATCTGGCCTGTTATGCAGAGTGGAGACCCCCAAAGGTAAGAGGGGACCTGTGAGGCTAAGAATCTAATAGGATTTGGGACCCAGTCATCAATATGGCAAGGAACAGGTTGGAGTAATTATCCAAATAAGGAACTTCAGCTGTAGTCACTGTGAGCAGTGTGGAGCCAGTGATGGGTGTGCAGATAAGGGCAGTGGCCTGGCCAACCCTGCTGGCTTGGTTGCATTCCCAGAAAGGGCCCATGTGCTTGTTGGGACCAGAGAAGGGAATGTGCATGGTGTAAAGAGGCCACAGGGCTCAGACTTCTTGGGAAAGGATGAAAGCATTCACTGATTACATACACTCAGGCACAGGCTCATGCACTAACGTAAGTGCTCACACATACACATTTCCACAATCTCATGAGGGGGATGTGTTCACTAATGGCAGTGCTCTAGAGGTGAAGGACAGTCCTTGCAGGTAATGAGCTCTCAGCAGGGGCTGGATAAAGACTCCTCTAGCCATGCCTCCAACACTGGCTGGGGCAGTGGAGAGCTGGACAATGGTTAAGGAATGTGGGGATATTGAGAATCTGGGAGGGTAGGGGACTTTGTTGGTTTTGTCAATGGACAACCAGAGTAGAAGAAGGAGGCATGTTTGTAGAAGGAAGGAGAGTTGCAGAGCAGGGAGGGATCATAGATAACACAGGTAGAAGGACTCACTTCCCAGGAAGAGGCTAGGATGCCCTGGGGTCCCTGTATGATGAGGACAGTGGGGGACTTCCTGGCCACCTAGTAATGAAAGAGAGAGTCACAGGTTGGTCAGGCAACTTCTAGGAGATTCAAATGTTGTGATGTATTGACCGACACCCATGTCTTGCTGATGTCTCAGAGTCTCAAGGTTTACTTGTGGGGCCATCCAGGAGTTGTTGACTATCCTGGGGACATCCTATGGGGCACAGTGTGACCTGCAATGTCAAGGGATGCCTAACGCTGGGAGGCTTGGCTGGGGGCTGCAGGTGATGGTCAGTGGTGGTCTGAGTCATGACCACAAGGAAAAGGGGTTTGTGTGGGGAGGCCCACCTGGTAAAGGGAAAGAGACATGTTCAGCCACTCTGGTGTGCCATATCTGGCAGAGTGTGTTGCCTGCTGGAATAACTCTTCATATCAGCAACGGCACTGGGTACCTGCCTTCGTCCCTCAGAGTTCCTCTGAGGCCCTGGCTGCTGCCTCCTTTGCTGCCTGCAACTTCCTTTCAGCTCTGTTCTAATATTGAGGTCCCCACAATCAGCAGAATGTGGGCAGTGGGGGGTCCCTGATCCCTCTCAGCAGCTGACACTGCAACCCCATGCCTGACACCCTGCTGGCCGCTCCAGGTATCTGAGAGAGGGAGGGAGGCACTGTGTCCTCTACTTCCTGTTTCAGGTGTCTGAGCCTTCCATGTTGCCAAGGCAACGCTCCTCAAAAACCCTGAAGCCAATGGGAGCTGGAATCTCTCAGTATAAGGAGCTTCTGAGAAAGAGGCCAGAATGTAATTGAGTTGGAAGGGAAGCTGATTTTCAAGTGGGCTTTATTTTAAAATGTATCCTTTTGTCATTTTAAAATCTGCCCTTAATAGCTGCATATCCCAGTTTTTATCTGTCTGCCTAGCAGCTTATCTGTGGTAAGGAGAAGTTATCTGGAAGGCAGGAAATGGGATTTACCCTGGCAAATGTTTGTTATTCAGGCCCAGAGTGCATGAAAGTGTGACTTGGGGAGTGGCTTCAGGATGAAGCAAAGGTCAGGGATTAGGACAGTGTCCCAGGCAAGGGCAGCTTTTGAAGGCAGGGCTGACTTGTGGCTCCCAGTGGAAGGTGCTGGGAAGGCAGGTGATTTAAGGAATAATATAAAGGATATTGAAATAAACAGAAAATGGGGCCGGGCAGCAGATTTGTGGGTAGGGTTAGGATCCTGAGCTACACAAAAGCAGGGTCAAAATAAGACCCCTCCCCCTTGGCAGCTTTCTGGCCACGCCCCATACAGAGCTGCAAGGGGCCCAGCCTGAGAGATTGCTGGATGGCATTGTGCTGGACAGGGTCAAGGGTCCCTGTAAGATGAACTATATATATTTAAATTGAAAAACAACCACAGCAAACAAAACCACACAAAACCCCAGCCATTTGTTGAAGATTGAAACCAAGAGGAATTGTTTAAATTAGGGAGCAAATGGGTATTTTTCTTAAACTAAATACCCTGGTGGGAAATTGAAAAGAGGGTGAGTCATCCAGGCGTTTTAGATTAAGTGGCACCAAGAGATGTGGATTACTCAGCCTCTGCATAGGAGGGAAGGAGTGGGTGATCGCCTTCCACTGCAGGGTGCTGGACAAACACTAATTAAATTATCACATCCAGGAAGTGCATTCTAGTGGAGGGAGCACTGGATGGCGAAATGAAAGGTCTATGTCACCAGCTTGCTGTGTAACCCCCAGGCAAAACATCCATGTTTCTGTGCTGTACTTGAGCCACATGGCATGGGTCTGCCACCAGGGGTGGGGTTTTCTGGGAAGCCACTTCCTGCCCCCCTGGAGTTGGGAGACACTGATGTCAAAGGTTTCCTGCTTCACCTTATTGGAAGTCCTCTATTTTCAGCTCACAGACCTTGGAAATAAATTCAGCTTCACAGATTTCTACTTGGCCTTGTTTCTCTTTGCTCAAACACGAATGGTCAAAGGGGGAATCCCATGAGGTTGCCCATATGTCCTTAGCTGTTGGCACGAACTGGGCCAGATCTGTTGGAAGACACCTTTCCCAAGGGGAAGCTGTTTAGAATAGGACAAGGAGGAGCAGGTTAGGAGCTCCTCACGTCTATATATTGTCTATGTATAAAGGTGCATTCTGTGTGTTGGCTCATGGACTCTGGGCCCTTGTGTTGCTCTTGGTTCTGCCTCTCCTGGGGTTTTGCAGTCACCTTCTTTCTGAACCTTGCGATTCTCCAAGGTGCAGCTCCTCACCATGCCACATGCTAAAGCCAGAGTCCAGAGGGGTGGGCTGCTTGGCAGCCCTGAGCAGGTACAACTTGCCCCATGAGCCTGGGCAGGGCCCAGCTCTTCTTAAGTGCCTGGCAGGAGAAACCCACTCCTTATAAAGACCTAGGGGTGAGTGGTGTGGGAGCTTCACCTCTAAGGAGATTTCATTTTGGAGGCTGTTATGGTTGTTGGAGTGATTAGTGGGAGGAGGAAAACATGGTTGTCTCTTCCCTCCACAAGCATGTCTTGCCTGGACTGTGAAACCAGTTTCCCTTAGGAAACATTTTTCCATGACCTGATTGCTGAGCTTGGCTGCCCTTCTCCGTCACAATGGCATTGGTCTGGGGACTTGTTTCCTTCTGCTAACACAGGGGCCCTGGTGCAGTGAAACCCTGAGAAGGTTGCCAAATGTCCACAGGCTCTTTGAACTTTGTTTCCCAGTGGTGGTATCCACCTGACTCGCAGGCTCAGGGGAGGGCACTGCAATTCCTTGAGAAGGAGGGTAAGGAAAGGGCAGGAGCATCCAGATGGTCTGTGGGTTTGCTTTATGCCTGCCTCCCAGGATTAAGGAGTCCCTCATGGCACAGAGGGGACATGGCTATTTTTTTGCTCCTTTGTAGAGGGAGAATTGAATTAGGATCGAGAGGCTGGGGAAGTATTTAGTCACTTGTATATTCAAGCTTTTCTCCAGCCTGTGAAGTCTGGTCAAGCAGGATCTTTCTTGACTACAAATTTGTTACATAGTTGTAGAAGCTCACATATGTGTTTGTAATCAATGAGGACTTGGACCAGGGAGCCCTGAGGGTCCCTTTGCATTAACTCTTGTCCCCAGCATATCTCAGTAGTTTTCTATACAGTTGCACTTGGGAAGCTGAGTCCCAGAGGCTGAAGAGACAGACTTGCTTATGTAGCACCAACATCATGTGAGTGTGCTGGGGCTGGAAGGCAGGTGTGTGTGCATGTGCGTGCGTGTGTGTGTGTGTGTGTGGCAGAGGACCCACCACACCCTTTCTAAACTAGAAGCAATGAGGATCCTTTGCCCACCTTCCCCTCCCATCTCTGCCTCCTCCCCAGAGCCAACATTAGGGCATCCACTTCTCTTTCAGTCACTGCCCCTATCCCTTCCTGTTGCCAGAGCCTGCTAACTTCAAGTTCTCCCACAACTTGGCCTTGCCTCAGCCTCCCAGTTGAAGCAAATACTCCCAGGGAATGGGAGAGCTTCCTTTTTCCTTTCTAGTTTAAGATGCTTCTTCTTTTGTCTTCTCTGTCAATTTCGAT